CCTGGTTGAGGTGTTGTTCTGATAATTCCATTGTCATCTTGGTGTAATACACTTTTTTTTGAATAGTTTTGAGTTTGTAGGTTTGAACTTTATTGTTCTTTGATTTTGCACTTTTATTTTAGGTTAAAGTTTGTGATGGATTATTGGTTAAATGTTTTTTTTTTTTTGTGTGTGTGTCTTAAAAAGACTCAGTAATAACGTATTGCAGGGATCAAACGATATGCAAAGCCAGTCGTTATTAACTGTAGTAGCTTTATTGCCCAAAGGGTCAATATTATTAAGCTACTAATGACCCGAAGGTTCTTGTGCGGATACGTATTCGAGAAAATTTTTATTACACTCCGACAACACTTTCGGTCGCGATTGTGCGTTAGATCTGGGAATTAATTATCCTTTAGCGATCTTTAATTTTTCCCGACGTATCCTACCGGCTGCGCCAATTAAGTTTTGCACGTTAGGTTACTATAAAAAAATATATTTCAATTTATTATTTTCACTTAACGGCTACTTTTGTTGAGTACATTCAGATTTGCTTCCCGAATATGAACTGATTTATCTAACTGTTGCGGTCGCTTAGCAAACTTCGCTTTGAGAGAGTTTGAGTCAAAATTGAGTGAAGTTTGAGCTGCGTCAGCAATTATGCGTGGGATAGTACTCTGATGGGAACATTGACAGTGGCGTGATATTTAGGGTGAATTGTTTATGTCTACCAAAGGGGGACAGTTTGATCTTGACCAATGTCGATGTTATCACCAGGCTCTTTGTTTACAATATTAGAAATGTTTATAATTGTGCTTATGCTTATGTGCTAAGTTATGTTAAAGGGTGGGTGCGACTATGGATATGTCACTATATATATATATAGCATTGTTTTTTTGTTATTCAATGCTTATTTCAGCAGAATATTTGTTATTAATCTGCCAAAATGCCATAAACAATAAGCGTCAAGGAGTTGAGAGAGAGAGGTGATAAAGAGAACAAAATTAAGCAAAGTGCACTTGAAACGAGACGAGTTTATCTAAGATTCGCAACATGACTGGGCGCCTGTGGAGCTGGAAGCGCAGCGTGCTGCTTATCTTGGCCATGAGTACCCTGGCATTGGCCTGTAAGTATTCAAGTCGAGCTGAAGACTAAACAGCTAGTAAACCATTCAATTTATGCTAGCGCCTGCGCCAAGTCGACAGTACAGCTGCATGAGCTACAAGGAGAACGACAATAGCCAACACGACGATGACTATGAGCAGGAGAACAGTGAAGGCATCAGCACGGAGCAGCAGCAGCAGTATCTAGAGACGAGTACGACGCCCAGCGTGCCGCACAAACGCAGCTGCACGGAGGGTTATACCTTCTGTTTCACCCTGTGGAACCAGACATCGAACGGCACCCGATTGGTTAAGCAGGGTAGGAAAATGGATCTGAATATTTCTACACGATGCTCATGTCTTTCGATTTAGGCTGCTGGAAGGACACGACGGATCGCAATTCCATTTGCAGTCAAACGGAGTGCACCAGCTCAGCGCCCACGTCACGCAACAATAGCCTGTACTATTGCTGCTGCTCGGGGGAACTGTGCAATGCTCAGGTGTCCATTGTGGAGCCGGCGCCACTGGAACTGGCCAACAATGTGCAATCGGCGGTGTCCAATCGGGCTGCATCCCATCAGCAAAACTCTGTCAGAGCCACAACGCTGCTCAGCTGTGTTGGACTCCTAACGCTCATCATCATTGGCATGCTGTTGGCGATGCAATATTGTCGTGGCGTGAAGGAGAAGAGTGAGCCAGAAGAGTCGCCGCTGGCACCGTCGGGACCCGGCTACAGTTCCAATCTGCGCAATGTAGATAATATGAATTTGATCGGCATGCTGGGCAGCGGCAAGTATGGCACTGTGATGAAGGGACTGCTGCATGAACAGGAAGTGGCTGTTAAGATCTATCCAGAAGCCCATCACCAGTATTATGTGAACGAAAGGAACATCTATGCATTGCCATTGATGGACTGTCCGGCTCTGCTCAGCTACTTTGGTTGGTCTGCTCGCGACTTTTACTCTTATAACAATAATTGAATATATATATTCTCTTGAGCAGGCTACGATGAACGCCGCACCATGGATGGCCGCATGGAGTATCAGTTGGTTTTATCCTTGGCACCGTTGGGCTGCCTTCAGGATTGGCTAATTGCCAATAGCACAGACTTTGCCCAGTGTTGTGGCATGTTGCGCTCCATTACGCGTGGCCTATCCCATTTGCACACGGAACTGCGCTTGGGTGATCTGCACAAGCCATGCGTGGCCCATCGGGATCTCAATTCGCGCAATGTTCTGGTTCAGGCAGATCTCAGCTGTTGCATCGCAGACTTTGGATTTGCACTGAAGGTATTCGGTTCAAAGTATGAGTACAAGGGCGAGGTGGCCATGGCCGAGACCAAGAGCATCAATGAGGTAGGCACGCTGCGTTACATGGCTCCGGAGCTGCTCGAGGGTGCCGTCAATTTGCGGGACTGTGAGACATCGCTCAAACAAATGGATGTGTATGCACTGGGCCTGGTGCTGTGGGAGGTGGCCACACGCTGCTCGGAGTTCTATGCGCCTGGCCAGCTGACGCCGCCCTATAAGGCGCCCTACGAACAGGAAGTGGGTCCGCATCCCAGTTTCGATCAGATGCAGGCATTGGTGGTGCGTCACAAGGCGCGCCCTCTGTTCCCAGCGGGCTGGGGCGGGGGCGCCGCCGCCAAGCTTGTGCGCGATACCTGCGAGGATTGTTGGGATCATGATGCAGATGCCAGGCTAACTTCACTTTGTGCCGAAGAGCGCATGCAGGAGATGTCTAGCCTGCGTCCACGGCTGCAGGCTCAGCCGGCTAGTCCGCTGCTTAATACCAACAACCTGGCGTTGCCTGCGGCTCAGCTGCAAGTGAGCACGATCAGCAACACCACAACCACTGCGGCTGCAGTGCATCAGGCACAAACGCAGCTAACGTCAGCCGACGGTGGTTTGCTGCAGCCGCCACCGAATCAACAGTTTCCCACAGAAAAGAACCACTTAAACTATGCACAGCCCCAGCTGCAGCCACATCTGCAGGGTCGCAATCCCTGTCAGGAGCGCAATCTGGCGCCGCAGCCGTTGCGTACGCCGCCTGTTCTGGTAGAGCGCAGTAAGAAGCACAGCTTCCAGCCGCAGCAGGAGCAGAGTCTGTCCTGCCTGGAGCATGATGTGAGCGTGGAAGAGCTCATTGCCAGCCATCAGCAAAAGCAGAACTCCAGCCTGGGTCAGGGCTTTCCCAAACAACAAAACACGGATCATATGCTGCGCGGCTGGCATGGCGTGCGCGCCTTGATTCACAAGAAACTCTTCCGCAAGGAGCACGCCGAGGAGCTGTGCCGGCAGCTGCAATTGGGCGAAGAGAAGTCAAATCTTGTGGCTGCGCTAAAGGGCATGGACAATGCACATTTGGCGAGCGGACTGAGGCGGCCCAACAACCTGGACTTGAGTCCCTTGCCGCCACTGGACAGAGCCAATCTGCTGCAGCTGCGCAGCGCAGAGCAGCGTACTGGCACCCCCGCTCACATTGTGCCCCGCTCGTTGTCCAGCAGCCTAATCAAACACATTAACAGCAACGGCAACAACAACAACAACAACATCAACGAGAACGAGCTGCACACATTGTCTGGCTCCCGGGCTCCAAAGCGGCGTCCCGGACATCTGCGCACAAATTCGCTGCTGGTGACCAGCAACAGTGGCAGCAATATGCCGCCGCCCACGGAGCAGCAGCTGCGCCGCCAGCACAGTCTAGAAGTCTTTCGTGAGGTATTTAGTGGGCGTGGAAGCAGCGAACGACTGCGCGATCCCAGCGAACGGGTGAAAACGCCCGGCGATGTGCCGGCATCGGTGCGCAAGGCGCGCGCCTCAAAGACCCTGAGTCTGTACGATGATCGCATGATGGACTCATCGCTGCTGAATATACTCTAGCATGAGGAGGTTCTGCTGCTGGAGCTATAAAGCGCGGCAGCGGAACTGTGCAGTTAACTCTCATATCTCAACCTTCATCAGACACAGAACATGCAACATATTCAACGATAGCCATACGAGTAGTTGATAGGACCCTCGACCTGATACTGAAATCCGATCTTGAGAAAACGTATATATATATATATATAGTATTTTTTCAAAAGCAAGATCCGTAAGTGTTCCCGCAGACGGGTCAACTCCAGAGAAATCTAGATGTACATGTATTTTTTCACCAATCAATTATCCTAGCGTTTAGTGCGGCAAACAACCAAAGTCCTTATAGGTTAGAACAGGATACAACAGAATAATACAGAGTAGCAAAAGAGTTAGAAACAGCAGGATCAGCATAAGCGACACACATATTTTTGACTTGACCTTGACCTTGACCTGCAGCAGTCTGATTATAGTGAAACGATAGTGGTTTAGTGGTTAGGTTCTCAATAGAGTTGAGCTTACAAGGCATAACTGTACCTCGGTTAGGTTTACAGACGGTTTAGCATCAGAAGCAGAATGGGGCTTGTAGTGGGCCAACAGGTTAGGAACTTTTTAAAACCATATACACACACAACATAATGCATATAACTATAAAAAAAAAACATATAGATATTACACAATTATATAAATAAGCTAGCGACTGGGGCTGTCACTGCAACAGAAATTCACGAAAATAATATATTAAATAAAAGACTTAACAATTATAAAAACTTCATTGCAATTAATCTTGATTTTGTGGCCCTTACATACAGTGATAGCCCTGTGGCCAGAGCGCACACACACACACACACACATACACATGCATACAAACACCTACTTTCGAGTATTATGCGAAACCATTCTAAAGCAATTTTGGCACCATATAAAGAATTTCATGCGTTTGCCTTTCTATTGTATTTTATCAAACATGGAGATCTTTTTTGTAGTACTTGTAGACCAAAACACCCGCAGCCTTTCAAATATAACTAATAAAATATATTAAAAAAAAAAAAAACGCTAGTCATATGATTTACACTAATTATATATTTCCTAAATAAAAGTTTATTTAAACTTCGTTTTTTAAGGTAAATAAGCAATGTACTAAACGAATAGCCACTCGGTGCTTCGGCTTTGAATTGCTAATCACGCGGAACGCGATCTAAGCTCGATCAGCACCGGCGCATTCGGTTTATTGATCAGCAGAGTGACGATATCCAAGTCAACATCCGTCCGGCCGCGCCAAATGAGCTCGTAGTTGCGCAGCAGCTGTGTCCAAGGGAAACGTTTTGAATTGCAAATGCTTGAACTGCTCGCTGGAGCGCAGAGATGATCAAGTTGAGGAAAATACTCACCCTTAAGAGCAAGACGTGCATATTCTGTTCGGCCAGACGACGAGCTATACAGGCGCGCATGCCGTGTCCAAAGGGCAGCACCAGATAGGGATTCACAGCATTGCGTTGCTGCAGCCAACGATCTGGCTGAAAACACAGCGGATTGGGAAAATGCTGAGGCTGACGGCAGGCAACCATATTCTGTGTAACCACGGTGGTCTAACGAAAAGTGTTTATATAACATTTGAGTCAAGAAAGTCGCCAAACACCTACCCCTTTGGGCACAAAATAGCCACTCAGGACGGTATCCTGATTGAGCACACGGCCGAATCCAATGGAAATTGGATTCAGGCGCAGCGACTCCTTTAGCACTGCCCGCGTGTAAGTAATGTCCGTGCGCAGCGCACCGGCGCTGAGAGACTGCTGGGCATTGGGCAGCACCTTGAGCGCCTCTTGGTGCAGTTTCTGTTGCACATCAGGATGACGTGCGACATGGTAAAGCAGAAATGCGGAGGCATATGACGTGGTATCAATGCCAGCCAACAACAAATCAGCAGCTGTGCCCACAACATCCATGCGATCGAGTTGAGGATTCTGAATATAGCTGGTAATCAGCGAGGATCGGCCAGTGCCTGCCTGCACATTCTGTTCGAGCAGCTGCAGGGCGACGCTTTCCATGTAGGATTGGGCGTGACGCAGCTTGCGATAGCTTGGAGTCTCTATAAAGCGCCACAGCTGCAGACCCTGATCTGTGGGCAATATGCAGCTGTTTGTGGTTTCGGCGGCATGCATCAGTCGTGTGGAACGCGAGTGGGCGTGCTGCTCCTCCGGTGAAAAGGATTGAATGCGTGCTCCAAAGGTTAACAGGCAGGTCACTAACGAATCAAAAGGTTTAATAAGGAACAGATATTGGGTTAACTTCTCTCACGTTCCAAATTGAGTCTGGTTAGCTTGGGCAGCATATCGATGACACTTCCAATTCCGGCTGACTCCAGAAATGTTAGAAACTCTTTTGTCACCGCATCCACCTCGCCCACAAAGCTGCGTACACTTTTCGGCGCGCTCAGCTCCTTTTGCAGCTGCGATCGCAGACGCCACCAGTCTGGACCATTTGTGGGCAGCAATCCCGTTGTCTTGTAAAGATGCGGTCGCTGTTTGCGATACTGGGCCAAGGCCAGGTGACTGCGGCGTTGTGGACAGTCACGTTCGTTGAGCAGTGTCGCTATGTCCTTGGGATCGTACAGCCAGACAATATCCTGCCCCGGCACCATGGTCTCTCTCACAATAGAGCCGTACTTTTCGTACTTGTCCTGGCCGGCCTTGTGCAGCTGCAGCCAGGAGTAGCTACCTATGCCAGGCATATAGTTATACAGATTGCCTAATCCAAGCGGACCTCGTGGCCCTGGTATTGCCTCAAATGGCTTGCCAAATGTGCATTGCCTCGAGTTGCAGATTTTCAATAGCTTCGACAACATTCTGTGCCGATCCGTTCCGTTCCGTTCGCTGCCAATTCTCGAAAGATACTGAGAGGCACTTTTTTATTATGGGCAGGCATTTGGGTTTTCTATTTATTGCGCCTTCTTTTGTTTCACTTGCCGCCAGAAAGGTAACTAAATTCAACAATCTGCTCTCGTGCGAGTCGTGTTTACCTGAGCTGCCGACTTAAAACCATTCGTCTACCTGGTGAGAGCCACAAGCGTGCTCTTAAATTTATATCAGAGAGTTTCTCAGATATCTTAAAGAATTTCTGCATACTTTTAGGAACTGAGCAAAACTATTTTATATTTGTTTAGCATTTTGTACGCCTATTTCTATCTCTATATACGGATGTTCGAGTCAAAAGATTCACTTTTCTATGAAGAAAAAGCTTTGCATCGAAATAAGAGTTCTCTTTCGTACAACGTTTTATGCCTTGCCAAGGTTGATTTATTTGTTAGCACTTTGTTTTTAAAATTTCTTGTTATTTTACTTTACTTATTTTTACGTTATAGCACCCATACACTTAATATTAAAAGCGAAGTTAATCTTCTTTCTGTTCTTTGTCGGAACTCTGCTCTTTCCCTATTCCATTTAACTTCTTAACTTGCTTTGCCGTTTTCTTTTGATTGTCAGTCACAATGCTTTGCATAATCGCGAGCACAACATTGGCAAAAAAGAAGAGGAAAAAGAGTAAGGGTAGAGACAAAACATCCAAGGATTTCCTAACAAAATAGGAACGTTGAGAAGATTCCGGAACCGATGACTGTTTAAAGATATCCGGCTGGCTAACCAATTGTTCGGCATACCAAATAGCCAAGTCCACGGGTTTCGCTGGGCGCGTACGGAAATTGAGCTGTGCCTGCCGCAGTTCTTCCAAATAGATTTCATCACGAATTATTTGCTTAAGAGCTGCGGAGAAACTGTCCACGCTGAAGTTCTTAGCTGAAATGCAAACTCCCAAATAACGTTCCTGCACACGTTCGCCGTTCTATGATGGAATTAGGAATTTTTAAATACACTAATCTTATTTCGATTATCCCCCACATACATTCATTTGATCCATGAGCAAGGGCAGCACAATGATCGGCACTGCATTGTAGATAGCTTCCTGGATACCAAAGCTATCACCATGGGTCAGAAATGCCTTTACATTAGATTGAGCTGTAAGCGAGTACGGAAATTGAGACGCGATCCAAGCTGAATTGGGTTAGGTACTAACCCAATATGTTCTGCTGCATATTGTCAAACACACTGATGGCTCTTAAATTGTACAAACTCTCCGAGAGCTGGAGGTCTTTAAGATTGTTCACATTCCAGAGAAAACCAAGCTGACTGAACTCCTTGATCATTGATTCAACGGCCTTTAGGCCCAATCCGTACATGAGCTCAATATGCGGCAGATTTATATAGACAATCCCCTCGGAGAAGCGCTCAATAAATTCCTGCAAACTGAAGGGCAATGGTTCCGACTCGGCTCGAATATGCAGGCCACCCACCTCTATAACGTTTGGTGGCATATTTTGCACATAATCCAGAACGGGATGGGTATTAAGTAACACGACCTGCGCTTTAATTGAGGAAACCCCGCTTTCCAGCATACCATTTAGAACGGGCTGAACCACGGCCCAATGAATGCTGCAACCAGTAAAAAGGGGTTGCAATGATGAACGTCTGCAGCTGTAACACTTAAATATTCCACTTACAATGATTCGGCCAGGTACATGACATGGTTCTGTATGCGCTGCCAGTAGTTCATTGTTATAGGCAGCCGGCCGATGAAATGAGGTATGGTTGCCGCACTGATCGTATCCTCGCCCTGAACAAGATCAATGAGATCCGTTGTGAATTTGCCTCCACTCAGGCCCAGCACGGGCACCGATCGATACCGTGGCAGCGTGGTGAGCAGGCAATCCATTGAGAAGGTGGCATCATAGATAATCAAATCATATTTCAAAGCCGTCATGTCAAATGTTTTGTAAAAATTCGCCTCAGTTATGGAGCGGCAGCCGCCCAGCAGCGCCTCATACCAGATCAACAGCTGCTTTATGTCCCAGTGATGTCGATAGTGACCCATATCGTTTGTATAATGCTTCTTGACCACATCGTGTTCGTTCGGCAAGAAAATTTGCCGTATGTGCGGAAGGCCTAGATCGGGTTGTGTTCCTATAACTGTCAGTGAATGGCCACGGCCAGCGAGAGCCTCAAAGAATGGCTTTGTCCAGCCAGGATTATAATGCTGCGCTGTGCCAATAAGGCACAAAATACTGGCAGCATTTAACTGCTGCCACTTGTGGCAAAACAGCAGCAGCAGCAGCAACAATGCCGCAAAAGTCTTCATATTACCAAACCGTTGCACTTCAAACAAGTCACTGAATTACCGATGGTTTCACCGACCGTGATAAGATTGCGGCTATCGACGCTACGTAAATGTAAGCCAACCGTTAAAAAGTCTATTCTATACACTTATATTTTTGTTTAAGAGCTGTGTGCCGAAGAGAATTGTGTGCTCTCAAAATAAATAACAAAAAGTAATGGGCAACGTATTCAAATAGAGAGAATGACGGGTTTGGCAAAGCCACCTACTAGAAGCAGCAAGCGCCAAAGCTGATAACAGCTATCAATTCGAACGTGATTATAAGGTTACTTTATGATAACCAATATAAACAATAATAAAAACAAAAGCGCTCCAGTTGGGAGTGCGCGACTAGAAAATACCCTGAATCCAACGCCCTTAAACCCACTCACAGACACAAGCACAAGCCACTGGCCACTTTTTCTTCTGAAGACCGTTCTTACTAAAACTTTCAGAGCATAATAATAGCATCATGTATATACATAGGTAGGTGCCAGACACGGCCATTGTCAAACCGTACCATTTGTGCTTTAATTAATATGATATTCGGGCTCAGAGTGTATTATTGAACGTATGATTATTCTTGAGCCCAGGGAATCTACTCGTCGGACAGACAATTAAAAATGCTATAAAAACATGGAAACATACCTGGCAACCAGTCAGTAGTCGACGTGATGTGCAACGTGCAGTATCTTGGCATTAGTATTTTAATTGCGACGCAGCTGCTCGGCTGGGCAATGAGTGCGAATATATTAGCACTGATGGGCATGACCTCGCACAGTCATCATATTTGGTGAGAACATGAAATTGGCATATAATCCTCATTGCAGCAAGCTAACAAGTGGCATCTCCCTCGTATGTTTATAGGAATAGTGTGCTGCTATATGAACTGGCAGAACGGGGTCATAATATGACCATACTATCCGTGAACTTGCCACGGCCCGAGGATAAGGTGCCAGCCAACGTAAGCTATATCTATCTGGAACGCGCCTATGATTTCTATAAAGAGAGTGGCGATAAAGTTGATATAAACTCGTTTATTGGTATTGGCGACTATGAGACCATAACGCAAACTTACGATTTTGGTGTGAAAACGGCGAAATATATAGCCGCCTCTCAGGGGCTGCTGCAACTGCTGGACTATCCGGATGAATTTCAGTTTGATCTGATTATCAATGACTACACGCTGGGTCCATATTTGCTTGGGTTTGCACACAAGTTTCGCTATCCTCCTATAATTGGCATTACGGCCTTTCACAATGCGCCCATAACACTCGATTTCATGTCCAATCACTATTTTCCCGCACTGACACCCTATTTCTCGACTCTGTATAGTCAGAAAATGAGCTTTTTGGAGCGTTTGGATAACACGCTCATATTTGCCGCCGATACAATGTGGGTATTAAATGCATTTCTGATATAAATTATTTATTGAATTTAGCTTCCATGATTAGCTATCGCCGACTGTATTACTATCCCCAGCTGGATGAGATAATGCGACCCTTTTTTGGACCAGAAATGCCGTCCTTGTCGAAGCTGGCGAAGCTGACGAAGATTTCACTGGTCAACTCACATCCAGCCACGGATTATGTGGAAGCTTTACCGCCGAATGTTGTAGAGGTAGGTGGTCTGCAAGGCAGACAGGGCAAGCCCTTGCCCGCCGAGTTGGATCAATTTATGAGACGTGGAAAACGTGGGGCCATATTCTTTTCGCTGGGCACCAATATGCATCCAGAAAACGTGGATAGGACGCTTAAGCTGGAAATTGTGGAGGCTTTTAGACAGCTGCCTGACTATCATTTCATTTGGAAATTCGACGAGCAGTACTTGAAGGATGTTCAAATGCCGGACAACGTTTTGGTTAAGGATTTTCTACCACAACGGGATATTTTGTGTAAGTCTTAATTATGATATAATGTGATTAATGTGATCAATGTAATTATTAATGTTTCTTGTCCTTTCCCAGCTCATAAATCTTTGACTTTGTTTATCTCACACTGCGGTGGATTGAGCACACAAGAGGCTACATGGCATGGTGTACCCATCGTCGGAATTCCCTTATTCCTGGATCAATATCGCGTAAGCGTATGCCCCAAATTGTTTGCTTTTTCAGTCGTTTAATCAATGGCCTTCCGTTATAGAATCTCATTCAAACCATTAATGCTGGTGCTGCTGTTCAGGTTAACTATTTGAATATGACTACGGAACAGTTGGTGTCCGCCGTACGAGAGGTCGCCGAGAACAAGCGTTACTCACAGGCTATGAAATTGCGATCCCAACGCCTGCGAGATAATCCGGTGCCCCCTCTGGAGCTGGCCGTGTGGTGGGTGGAGTATTTGCTACGCCAGCCCGATCCCGTTCACTTGCACTCGGCAGCTAGGGAATTGAATTATTTCCAAACGCATTCCCTGGATGTGCTCGCAGTTCTAGTTATGATTCCTTTGCTGCTTCTGTACTTCCTGCAGCGCATGTGCACTGGCAAGCGAAGATCGATGCGAAGGAAACATCAAAAACGCGATTGAGCGAATATACTTAAATTACCATAATACAATATTTTATTTACTTTTGTAAAGCTAAATATTATACAATAGATTGTTATTGCTATAACTTCTTGGCAACGGGTGCTCATTTTTTTATAAGAAATCGAATCGCAACACGAAATAAAATATATATATATACTTTGCTTTTGTGATTTGCATAATGAACAACTATTGGCAAAGAAATTACTCACTGATTTTAATTCTAGGTGTGCTTGTTCGTGTGTGTGTGTGTGTGTGTGTGTGTGTGTGTGTGTATGTATGTGAGTGTGTGGGTGGCTTTTAGTGTGTGTTTGTTAAGTGTTTATTTACGTGTTGTTAATATGGCAAGATTAATAAATGAAACTATTTTCACTTTGCAACAGCTGCGGGCACTGCACAACCGTGAAAGTCCCTAATGAAACTTTAGTCTAACTAATTCTAGGCGCAAATTGCACAATGGATTATTTATAAATTAAGTTATAAATATATATAAGTATTAAATTAATTAACACAGATATTCGTTTTGTTTGTTTTGTCGTGTGTTTGTGAAAATGTTTAAAGCGTGGTTATGTACAGATTAATAAGTGATGCCTTTCCATTAAGGGTATTCACTGCTTAACGCTTTTGAAAATTTCCCATTTTAAAAAGTACTTTCAGTGAGTGAACACCCCTCACATGGCGCTAGTCACTTCTTTCTAAAGTTGAGGCTGTTCGGTTAGTTTTGGTGCTTTGTGAAGGAAGTGGGGCAGTTTGTGTATTGGTATTGATTAATTGTAGCACCGCTAGCGCTACGACAAGGACACTTTGCAATCGTTTAATCGTTCCTATCACGTTCACTCGTTCACCAACTGCGCTGGACCGGGATCATCGTAGGGCGCTCCATTCGCACCTACATACTGATTGTTATTGCGATGCACAAAGCCACGTCCTGGCGATGCATTGTAGTAGACGACGCGGCGTATGCGGAAGGGATCTACGTAGCCAAAGCTACCCGCTCGTTTGTCATCCACCTGGGCTTCCTCATGATACTGCTTGGGTAACACATAGCGAAAACCGTTGCGCGTCACGCTTACACCATCATAGTCTGAGGCATCCAGATTGTTGTTATGCAGCGGACGCAGACGCCGGCGGTACGCCCGATCTGGCAATGGTGGCAGCAAAGAAGCATCCAAAGCATTCACATCCAGCGGTAAGTTGGGCGCATAGTAACCATATCCATTGCTGGCGGGCGTGGCTGTGGGCGCATAGTGATAGCTGGTATCGGAAACGGAGGGCGGCGCAGCGAATGGAGCGGGCGTGGAGTAACCAAAGGGAGCCTGAGCTGCAATGGGCGCAGGTGTCGTGGGTACTATGCCGATGGCCGTTGGGCGCGGTCGTAGACGTCTGCGCTGGGTGCTCAAAGGCGGCAGCATGGATAAGGCGGGCGCAGACATCAGCACGGGCGGACGAGGCGTCGTTGAGCCAATCACAGAGGCGAAACGACCCGGCGCAAAACCATGATCTGCTTCCTCATCGTATACATTAATTGCATTGATGTCATCAATGGCCTCCGCATTCGGCTGAATGTGCACCTTGCCGCTTAGCAGCTGGTCACGTGCTCGGGGCAACTCGTCCGGATAGTGATCAAATCCCAGTTGCGTTTGTGGCTGTATCTTGGCGGCCTGTTCGGGTGGCAAATAGTTGAGCTTACCTACGCCTGAGCCCAGATTTGCAGTGGCCAAATTTGGTGGCTCATAAAGTGGCGGCGGGGGCGTGGTCGTTGAAGTAGTGCTGCTATAGCCATATCCATGTTTTCTATAGCCACCGGCTACACTATTGCCACCCACATTACCGTCAACCAGAATGCCAGACTGAGCCGGCGCCGATTTCGTGGATTTTATGGCCTCCTGTAAACGGACGGGGACTAAGAGCTGTAGGGGTTCGGAAATTGTAAGGCATTTTATAGTTACCTCAATGCCCCTGCCTTGGCCCACAAATATAGTCTTTGATTTGAGAATACGATATCCCTCCTTATCGGCTATGTAATCCTTCTGTCGCAAAAAGCCAGCAGCGTCGATCCAGGCCTCTGTGCCTAAGTAAAAGAACAATACAGAATGTGAATATTTGTTAAAACCAGATGGACCCAAAATAAATATAATGAATTATGGCGGAAGTCCAGACAAATGAGTTGGAGTTTCCCTTGCATCAATTGTGAAAATATTCATTTAACTAACCAACAACTAGTCTATAATAATTTTGCCTTATTATGGACTTACCAATGACTGTGCCGTCCTGCAGACGTTTCTCCTTGCGGAATTGTCCATTGTCGGTCTGAAAGCGGAAGTACCTCTCGGGTCCCTCATCCGTTTGAATATGGTACTGACTTTGACTCGCATCACCCCACGAGGCGGCTGCCAACGCTACCAATGCCAGCTGCAAAGAAAATTGTCGACAAGAGGTCAGTAACTTGCCACTTGCTACTTGCTACTTGCTACTTGCTACTTGCTACTTGCCACTTGCCACTTGTATTTTGACTAATGGCATATGGCAATAGCCGCATATCCGCTGATAGCGGCAGCTAGAAATGCATCTGGATTTGGCCAAACGTGTCTATTTGGGGGCCGGCCACAACAACTATTAGACGAAATGCCAAGAGGTAGCAATTTGGCCAAAACGAGTAGTCATCGTTGCACTTCAGTTTCAGAGTCAAGGTGACATGAAGAGATGCAACCGCAACTGTTGCACAACGCACAACACGTTGGGAACGGAAATGTGGTATGTGAAAGTGTATTTGCAGAACCGGTTAGAGCGCACGTTGCGTATACACTACGTGGCGCATAGGTGTTAATGCCAATTCAGGGACAAGGTTGTCATTCTCTTGCCATTTGGCTCGATTGCCGCATTAAGATTCTTTTGCCAATTATTCTAATGCCGCCACCCGCACGTAATCACATTACCGCTTCAATTATTTTACTGTGCAGTCATAAACTACTCGCAACCGCCACTTGGTGAGGGGGCAGCGACCGGGCGCGTCGCCTCGTCAGCTCTGTAGGCGTCGAGTACTGCGAATTGTGGTTTGTGCGCTTCAATTAAGCTAATGTTGCTGTAGCTGACATTTTTATTATAATTTTGTGTTTACAAATCGGGTATTCGCATTCGCCTGTCGTTTTATTTATTGTGCTTTAATTAATTATTGTATGTATATTTTAAGGTGTCACCTTATGACAGACTTCGCTTTTCTGCTTGTGGGTTGTAAATATAAATAATAAGTCTTAAAATAAATTGAGTTCAAATTATTTGTGGTGTTCATTTTTTAATTTACTGAACACGACGTTCAGCTCTTCAGCTCTGCAAAGTGCTCACATTATTAAGCTTATTCTATAGCATTATTTACCTAACTTTAACTTAGCATTTTGATAAATTAAATTTCTGACTGACTGCTAACAAAGTCATCTCAAGCCTTAAAAATACATATGCAACCATCAATCATGCAAATCAGCCAGAAATGGATTACATCATGCATGTTCCACTCAAAAAAGGTATACATATAAAATAAATACACACATGCCCAAAATACTTTGCCACTTTCTAGAGGGGAACAGTAAGTCACCTTCCCATTCAATTACAATCAATTTAAATATTTGGGCATAAACGTCACAGACAATCAACAGCAAATTGCACAGGCAGAAAATTTATTTCATTTGCTAACGCAATGTAATAAATTGTGCAAAAATTATTATGGCCATTTCCGTTATGGGGCAAACAACTGCAGACGGACAGCAGTGGCAGTGGCAGCAACGAGAGTAAAAGTGCCAGCAGCAACAACAACAACAACAACAACGCTAACAACAACGATCACTTCAGCTTTGAGAGCAAAGATCTGGAAGAAATTTTACTCCAAATTGGCGTCGCAGTTACTCAACCGGTTGGCGTTGGTGTTGGCTCTAGCCGCAGCCTGGCAGCATGTGTTTATGTTGCGACTGTTGTTGTTGATGCTGATGTTGCCGGCTGTTTGCCGCATGTTGCTGGCGTCGGTTACGTGAGAATCACAAGAGTCAAGCGACTCCTTTTGGGTGCGAGCGCGCCTTTAAAACCAAAACCAAAACAAAAAAAAAAAATCAAAAGTGGAAAATCACGTTTTTCTTGGCGCGCAATTTAAGCGGTGCTTTTTGTTTACGTTATTGTTATTGCTGCTGGACGAAATGGTAACAAAGCCCGTCAACTGTTGCGCAACATTTTTGGCGTAATTTACGCAGCGCAAGCATCAACTTTAACCAACAAAAGATATTCGCCCAATTGGCTGCCTGACCCCAAAAATTCTACAAATGTTCAAGCTGCAGCTTGTGAGAGCCTAAGCAACCAAATACCTGAGCAACTATCTCTTTGTCTGTGGGTGCCCTCGAGGGCACCTTGCCTTGCTCCAAGCTGACCTTCACTATTTGAGTTTTTAATTAAAAATCACTTCAATTATATTTATGCGAGCGCTCTAAATTTATTAAATTAAAGCAAAACAAAAAAGAAAAAAAATAAATACAGTAAAAATTATGATAAATGATCTATGAGAATGTGTAGCGCAGCTTGCGATTTTGTGAATAGCAGACATTCTACCAGCAAACTTTTTCAAATTGATTAAAACAAGGCGCTAATGAAGCACACCCATAGCGATGACGACGAGCCTTTCACATTATGTTAGGCTGCGTGCTGGCCTTTTCCTATATAAGTATGTTCATAGAAAATACATACATGTGTCGACAAACCCACGCGGTCTACTCGGATAGACTGATAAACATATGTATAATCATGTTAATTACAATTTTTAGCTGCTTCCGTCTTTAAATATGCCAAAACATTGAAATCAAAGCTAAGCAAATGGGTAAGTGTAGCGCAAGCAAAACGAAAGACTTAAGACACAAACTTGTTACATGGCATGCAAAGCTGTTGCTGTTGCTATTGTTTTTTTTTTTTTTTGTTTGTGGTTTTTGTGGGTTTGTAGGCGTATGGGAATCAGTTGGTTACTAGTTTGTTAGTCATAGACCACAATGATTAGATTAACCATATGTTTATCCAAAATATATGTTATACTATATGTTGACAACAACATGTCGCTGACATTCGAGCAAGGCAATGAAGCAAATAATAATTTCTAATTGCTCAAATTCCACAAAAACAATGTCCCCCCCAACAGCATTACGAACATGAAATTCTATATTAATATGCGGCGATTAAAGAAACATTTCATTAGACACAATCAATTCCGAGAATGTGCGCCAAACCAACAATAACTGAACGACTGATCGAGTGTCTCTGGTTGCCTATTGAATTACACATTTCGGTGAGAGACACCCACACCAGGCACAGCAGAGGGTCTCTTATGTGAGCTTATGAACTACTGACAGACCGCCGTCAAATTTCGAGCATAGCCCAAATTGCTGTGGGAGCAGCAACAGAAACGAAATACAAAAAAAAACACTGTTGCTGCTATAAAATTGTATTAAATTTCGTTAGTTGATTGACTTTTCGTAACTGCAAAAAAAAAATTGATTGCCTTATTTGGTCAACGTTTTTGGTGCTGCCATTTCCTGTTTCTTGAGGCACAAACAACTCTGCTTAGCTATACAATTTGCTAGAATTTCAATTGAAAATATGATTTGCCAAATTAAATAATAATAAAATAACTATACACAATGTGTGTTGGTGTTTGATCTGTTGGAACATGTTTTGAAAACTAGCACCGCAAACCACGCGCGTTTGAGCCAATGTCCGCCTGGCTTGTTAGTTCAATTCAAACGTGGCCCGCAGCGCAGTTGCCGCTGCATTGGACAACCCCTTTTGGGTAACCCAGTTAACGATATTTGCATTTGGCAGCTGTTGCTACTCGGCTACACAATTGCTAATTTCTATAAATAAAATCACATCCGACGCACTCAACTGCAGCATTCAAATAACTTGTTTGAATGCTGGAGTAAACATGCAAATACTCTTTTAAAGCTTGACATAGAATTTAAATAACATATAATATATATGCCAGTTTTTTTATAATTTCCCATTGGCTTGAAATAACTAGTAAAGTTTTTCAGGAGGAATTAATTTGAGATTTATTTTGAAATGAACAAAATGTTAAAATATTTCTTTTAGTGAATCACATAAAATTTTATCTTGTATAACAACATAAGCAATCACTCTCTTTCTCTCTTGTAAGGGCAAACAAATTTCGTCATGCCAAATGTAACTATTTTCTTACAGAGTAGTTTTTGCTGTTTTTGTTTGATACTGCGCGACTGCCATAGATCATTTAACAAATTGCGAACAAAACTGCATTCAGACAGTTTGACTTGCATTTGTCGCTGTCGCTGGCGGCATTGCATCACTTTTAGCCATTTTTGTGAAACATGCCAAATGCGTAATACTTTTGGCATGCATGAGGTGTGAAATGGCGCTTACGTGTATTACTCTGTAAATATTATGAGTGAAATGTGATTGTTCCACTCCGAATGAGCAGGCTTCCTCCCACAATGCAGCTTTGACGTGCGTGTCGGTTATGCATACAAAAACACATCTGGCAGATATATAGAATAGAATTCGAGAGCTTTGTAATTATGCAATTGGCATGCAAATGCCCGGGCAGGCTGTTAAACAATTGTACATGCATCATAAATAATAAGCCATAAACATTATTATGACTTTAATGCGTTTTCGTCACGGCGACAAGGTCAGCCACGCCGCTCACAAGAATCAATTGGGCAGCTCACGTAGGCTGTTAAGTTTTTCACGCGCTTCCGAAACATTTCACTTTTTTTGAATTTTTTAATGACATTGGCTTTATGATTATGAATATTGTCGTGTAGCTGTAGCGGGTTATTAAATTAGATTGCATAACGCAGCTAGAATTGTAGGTGGCGCGCCCAAAATTTGTCGAGGCGTGAAATGTTTTGTAATCTTTGGGTGCCCACCATGAAGTCTGTTGTTTGCTGCTAAAACTGCGAATTGCATGAAGGCCGTTTGTAATTAGGCAGCCAGCTATGAAGTCAACTCTTAACTAATGCCCAAAAGGCATATAAATTTGCACAGCGCTCAGTGCTGACTCATCAGAAATGCTCATAAACAATTTGGAGGACAGGAAAATTTGACTTTGACTGATGGATCATAAGCAATGGAAAGCCAAGTAGTCAATAAATTGCCATAAATCACAAACAGCACCGGTCAAATGTGTAGCAAAAGCTGTCAAAAGTGACACTTGCACGCCCCAATGCGTTGCCCGCATTGGCTTGCCAAGTTCGTGCCCTAAGTCTTTTGTTATGTGTGCCGATTCTTCAGCGTTTCAACGCTTCAACGCACCAACGCTTTGTCGCCTTGGCGCTTTGCTGCCAGTTGGAAAATTTGAATTTTGCAAAGTTTCCGCATTTTGGCGCTGCACTTGGCTGCTCCAATTTGTCACAGTTCCAAGTGGGTTACAGTCCAAGTCCAGCATTTTGTGGCCAAAGAAACCCAAACGCGCTCGTGACATTCGGCCCCACAAGAGAGTGAAAGTTGCACGAGGAGAAACAACAACAACAACGACAGCAACAACAACAATATTGAATTAAATTCAGCTCAGCTTCGACATGGCCCAATGCAACTTGGCATAGCTACAATTGTTGTTGCTTTTTGTGTTTGTTGTTTTTTGGCCATGTTCAATGTGCGATCGTGTTTTAATTTCGTGTTGTATAAAGCTTTTTTCATTGTCAGCAGCGTGCGGGCATGCAACTTGCATTGTTTGGCCAAGTTGGATTCTTCTTTCGGTGCCTGGCTAAAATGCTAAAACGTATTTCATAATTGCTGTGGGTTACTTAGTGGCGTCAATGTACATCTGAAGCTATGCAATGGTGTTTCATTTTTTTTTTTCGTTTTACCTATTTAGGTTTTTGCTTTTGCCCACCAAAAGCCAAATTAATCAAAGTAATTGGCCAGCTCGGCCGGGGGTGGGGGCGTGGGCGTGGGCCGCTTTGCCGCTTGGTGTATGAGCTGCGTGTAAATGAACTTCATATGCATGCACGTATGAGTATCTCACAGATAACGCGATGTGGGAAAAGCATTTTGGCAGCGCTTACAAGCTCCGCTCAGCTTTTGCTATTGCTATTGCTATTGCTGTTGCTGTGGGCTGGGCGCCGAGCCGTGAACTGTGTCAGCAATGTTGCATTTTATGCAAAATGCTGCCGCGACAAATTCCAAAGCCTTTGATTAAAACGGCAAACTATTTGCTAGCCAAATGCAATGTGTGATAATGGAGGTATTTTTTTTTTTATTTCTTTTTTTTACTTTCCAAAGGGCCAACGACAGCGTGACTTTGGCATAGTTTTAATGGCTGCTCACTTTGATCATTCCCATTGTGTTTGAGACTCATTTGTGAGTGCGTGGGCTGCACCTTGGATATAACTTCTTGATAAACAAACCCAACAAAGCCCGGCAAACTGGCGACACTGTGGCACTGTGTGGGCACAGGGACACAGCATCGGTATAGTGCCACATTATCATAGCGCGTGGTTGTCTTGTTTGCACTCTAACAACTTCCAGTTGGGGCTGTCAGTTGTTCTAGCTGAAATATTTGAGACAGAAGTGTGACAAGGCGTGTGTCGCAGACAGCATAGTAATGAAAAATTATGCCCAAAGAAAATATGAAAATATGAAACAAGGTACAAAGTACATCCACAGCTGTTGTGCTTTGTTTACAAAGTGAAAAATATTTTACTGATGTATTGCCACCTCCACTATGCGACCCTCTGACAGTATGAATGCATTTTATTTTTTTAAGATTTGAAGCTGTATAAATTAAGTACTTTAGTTTATAAGTGCCTCAAACAGACCTATTGCTATTAACTTTAGCGGAGGAAACTGTCTGAGGCATGAACAAATCACATTTCCTAAGGTCGTCGTTTGACAGTCGCTGCTTTTAAGTTACAGTCATAATCATTAAGTCATAATCAAGGAAGGCTCCCAACACTATAAATAGAGCATTACATTGTCTAGCCCGATTGTAAAGCTGACATTTACTTAAAGCATGTAACACCTACTTAGGTGCTAAATAAGAGCAGAGAATTGTGTTCACTTAAGCTGGGAAAAATACCCCGTCGAAAATAGATGCTTGCTTATATATACCTTATATTTTTAGCATAAATTATGAATATTTGACAGCGCGCTGCATCGTAACAAACACCTTTTAATTATTCAAGTTGTCCTTTGAAATCGGTAGCATTTTCTTCACACTTTTGACGATCTCAGCCATATTAGGTAGCAAAAAAATAAATAAACATCATTAAAGTGCGCCACAAATCACCTAAAAATGTCGACTCCATGCGCGTCATCTTCCCACATTACTCAGAAGGCCCGCAGTTCATGCATTCGAACGTGGCCATAAACATTTAAACAGCAGCTGTGGCTAATTTGTTTCGAAGCACCATTAAAATTTTGCAAATTGGCCACAAATATTGTGCAGCTAATTGAGTTAAGTGAGAAATTCCATTTATAGCTCAGGCGTGTGAACCAACTAATTAGAATTCAAATTTTGGGCGGCATTCCTCGGTATTTCTTTTAGCCAGTTCACAATAAACGCACTTTGGGCATTTAGGTCAGTTAATAAAATGAAATTGCAGCATCATTGTTACAAAAAAAAAAAAAAAAAAATTAAAAATGTTGCTGTTATTTCTCGTGGGCTTTTTGGCTATTCATGAAATGCGATTTAATCAAAGTTCATTAGGGGCGTGCACAAAATGTATGGGCAAATAATTTATGCGTAAAATGCAAAACAAAATGGCAAAAAAAAAACATGTTCATTGATTTGCCCGCGAGCTGCTTTGGCGGCATGTTACATTTGAAATGATATTTAATAATATGTAATTGTGAAATGCAGAAATGAGAAATGAGCAAATTCAATCTGGTCTGGGCATCTACAAGTCCAGTTTTGGGAGAGCTTACATAATTGCTAGACCGAAACAGCAAACGTTTTTTTTTTTTTTTCAATTTATGGCTGTCACTCAAGCTGATTGCTTGTCTGCTTGTGCCGGCTGCTATCTCTCTCAAGGTCAGGTAAGTAATCCACAGTAAAAACAAATGCTACAGTTGTTAATTAATTCAGTTGCGCTAATTTTGCTGCCCTATTTCATATATACATACGCACACATATAAATATGTATTTTTTTTTGCTTTGCTTTGGCTTTTACAGCTGCTCATTTGCATTTTTAGTGCTTGTCTTGGACCTGTCTTGGACTTGTCTCGGACTTGTCTTGAACGCGTTACCAATTTACGCAATTGCTGCTGCAATTTATTTGATTTGTTGCCTTTCAAGGGAAAGGTCTGCCCTGCCCACGTGCTGCCTGCCCACCACAGCTAAGACTTCGCACGCTATAAAATATCTTTAAATATATACAATACATCCATCTAAAAGCTACAAAATCAACATCGCGTACTCATCATCATCATCATCATTATCAACATTGAATCTTCGTTGTCTTGGCGTTTTTTTCCTTTTTTTTTTATTTGAAGACGATGCCAGTGACCTCTGCCTTGTTTTTCATATTGTTATTTCATTTTTCCTCACTCAATCTTTCTTTCTGTGCTGTGCATCTAACACGTTTACACAGTTTCGAGATCAATATCGGGGGATGCCCGAAGCCGCTGCTGCCTCATCATAAACGAAACATAAAACGAAAAAAAAAAAAACACAAAAACAAAAAGCGAACAACCGAAAAATCTAATGCACGATTTTTGTTGAAATTTTCATGTTTTTCAGATTGATTGTTGCCCCTGCCTACACACGCCTATTTGCCCGCTAACTGTTAAGAAATAACGTTTGGCCTATTCACTGAATTCTTTTCATATTCAAATTTAACTAGCCAACTCTAATATGGGTCAAAAGCTACAGGTTTGTCTATAGCGAAAAAAAAATTGTGTTTATCGTTTGTTTGGTTTTTTTTTTCCTAAACTTTTGCATATTTGTTGTATGAGTAGTACGTATGTCCATAAATTATTCAAAAGTTTTGTATTAGCGTTAAGCACAACAAAAACAGGTGGCATTTTCGCATCAAGTGAGAAAATATATTGGCACATATTCTATGCTAAGCACGGCTCTAAAACGTATTTTACAATGTTGAGTTGTCATTAAATTAACAAGATTTAACACTTGTTTCCACGTTAAGGCAGCTTAGAATTGCTTTGCAACAAGTTTGTTGCTTAAGTCTTTCGTTTGACAGCTTACGAAAATTTGTTTAATTCCCAATTGGCAAATAAAATTTGGCCTCAATTTTGTTAAATGCACAATTAGTGAGAAATAATAACAGGAATATGCATAGTCGTCAAAGTTTAGCCAATTGAAAAAAAGTCTCAAGTTGTTGCTAGTCGCAATTTCCTAGCTAACAATAAATCAACGTAAGTGCAACATTGCTCTTAAATCTTGCAACCGATTGCTGTTTGAAACAAAAGGCTTTGATAGATTTAGTGCTGTTGCTTAAATAGAAAATTAAATTGTGGGAACCATTTAAGTGTGTCATAAAATTAGCATTTTAAGTGCCTAAAACTAAAGCTACATGCTTAAATTTGCAACAATTTTTTTTGCTTCTTGGCCAGTGTTTCGGGAATCAAAGCAGGCAACGAAATTTTATAGAGTTTTATCAGAAAAGTAGGCCTTGCAGCTTATTTTTTGTACCCATTCTGAAACAATAGGCATTCGTGTTAAAATATTTAAAGCAGATACATCTGCAGCGGGAATTTATACAGAAAAAAAAATACACCAAAATTGATCAGATATAAAAATTACATACATATATTTTAGGTAAGAGCAAGCATAATTTTACGTCTCTCGTTTTACATATTTAACAAGTATACAAATAGTTAAATAAAAAAACAGAAAGTAGAGAAATAATGTCGGACGACTTTGCTCCCATAAAGTCCTCATTGAAGGATCCTTCTGTCTTGCCTCTCGAGATGCCAACTACGCTGCCCATTTGCAGGAAACCACGTCCGGATCTCAATTCGCTGACAGTGCGCCAGTATCTGGATCAGACGGTTGCGCCCATTTTGCTGCACGGCCTACAGGCGCTGGCACGTGAGAGGCCCACAGATCCCGTTAGCTATTTGGCAACATATTTGTTAAAGAACAAAAATCGATGCGAAGAGATCAATGCCGATGCAATGTAACTCGTTTTGTTGCTTACTTTTACACACGCACACACAATGTATTTTAAGTTTTGTTTACTGACAAACGCTGATATTCGCTGGTTTTGATTGGACCGATTTCAACGTACACATTTTAGAGCTGTCTGCCCACTTGTCTAACAAACAAAACAACCCAACAACAACGTTAACACTCACCAAATGTATGCTCTGCAGCCACATGATTTATTCGATGTTCCTTGTTACAGCTTACGACCGACGCACAACAATTAAAAATACACTTAGTTTACACAAATAAATATTAATTTGTCGCTGTATTTTACACGGTTGCTGCACCAAACGATTTGTTTTTGTTTAGTTTTAAACAAAAGATAACGGTGCGTATACACGATTTTTAGCAGAGGCTTCTCTTGGTGCTGCTGCAACTGCCAGCAACATCACGCCAGAGCGCGTTGAAGTCGAACGAAAAATTGCGCCTAAAGATGCGCCGTTAATAGTCGAATTTCTGCCTTTTCGAATTTAATTGGTTCCGCCGACGCCTGCACTTCCGATGCTCGTCAAACGATAATATATATTTATATATATATATATATATGGGTTGGTTGGCCCGATCTCTCAATGGCGCTTGCAGCGTCTCGCACGTCCGTTTACTCAGCTGGCTCGACTGCCACTAAAATCGCAGCGCGTTTAGTTGACGGTTTAAAAAACTTCAAATTCAAAACGCCAAACGTTTCGGCGCACTTCGTTTCACAGTTCGGTTCGTATCGGCTCGCCGGCGAATGCCACAAAGCGTAGCGGCTGACTACTGGGGCCGCCCAGCTAACTGGTGGTGGCACAGGGAAGGGGAGGAGAGTCTAGGGCATGACGCTGTAAAACTGTGTGTTGTCATGGCTGTTAGAAGTAATCTACTTTATGAGCACTCTTGGACACTTTCAGACCGTAATCCGATTTCAGTTTCGGTACGCATTCTGACCACCCGCAACAGTCACGCGCCAAATGGATTTATTTTCAATATAATTTATATAGATTCTATTCAAAATATAGATTCCATTCACTGATATAATTATAAGTTAATTGCTGCATATGCTGGCGTGTTCTATTACAAAGTTCAATATTTAGATTGCATGCTTTATGGAATTTTATTGATTGATGCCACAAATTCAAGTGCAATAATCGAGACCTCGTTTGCTTTTAAATTTAGAAAGGGTTTATCTTGGGCTCAAGTTGCCTTGATATTTAAACTTTTGAAGTCATTTTGCTCTCATTTGAGCTTACATTTTTGACAGGAGACGGTAAAGTTGAATGTATGGCAAATCTCTTGATTGACGGGCAAGCCTTAATTAAAAAACCTAAGAAATAAATCGTGCACAGATCGGAATTTACTCAAAATATGTTCCAATTTATAAATCAATATAGTCATATAAAAATATAGTTTCCAAAACAACGAGAGCAAGAGCATCGAGTATGAAAAGAGTGGAAGATATATGGCTCAGAGATGAGAAGCGCATAGTAGAGCAATATTTAATACTAAATTTATTGCATATTGCAAAAGGAAAGTAAACTTTGGCCGGCAATCTGCTTCAGTATTTGTAAACATGAGCCATTTTAGTTGGAACCCACGTTTGCACCCACCGGATTTTGGTGAATCGATGAATCACATTTTACATAGAACTTAACTCTCAATTTTTCAGCAAACGAGATGAGTGTACCGAAAACCTAGAAGTGCGTCTTCAATAAATTACTACGTTATTTCTTAAATGTGAAGTAAAATAGAATTTTAAACAAAACAAAACTCTTCTACAATTGCATTCCATAAATTTTCCTCTGCGCCTCTCAGGCAGCAGCTTTATATAGATGATTATGATTAAATTGCATTATTTGATGCAAACATGATACAAACATTAAAATAAATTGATTAAAACAAGAGAAAAACAAACGCAATTTTTAATTTTACAAATCAATAAACAACTCACATTTGAGACAGCAGCATTAATTCGCTATAAAAATAGATAAAATTATGATATAAATAAACCATTAAGGAATATGGCGCCCACATGTGTCATAAAACTACATATATCTGTGTTATGTGTATGCCCACAATCAGGCATTGCCTTGTGGCTTGATTTAATTAAAAAATCAAAAGCGTTGTAATTATTTGTCTGCAGAAAAAGATCTCTCGGCTCAAATAACAACTTGAGCTCTTAAGCTCCAAAGTGGAGTTTGCAAATTGAGCATAGTTGAATTTGGCGCCAGTGCGTTTATTGTTGTTGGAATTGTTATTGCTGTTGCTGTTGTTATTGTTGTTATTGCTGGCTCTGGAGTGCGTGGGTGACTGACAGTCGAAGCCGCTGTCGCTGTCGCTGTCTAATGGAGCGACGCATTTCAAGGCTGTCGATCGGTTCAACTTGTTGCCGCCGGCTGGCGCTTGAGTCGCCACCAATTTCTTATATGATACCGACTACGAATCGACTCGTGGCTAACTGCGCCTATAATGCTTGCAATGTTGTGGGCGCTGCTAAAAGTGACGTCACATATTGCCTTTGCCATGATATCATTTTCCTCCGCACTAAATCACACGGAAAAAACCTAAACATTTCATAAATCTAAGGCTATGCGCTGCTCACAGTCCGAAATATATTTGCAATTCGCTTCAATAAACAAACAAAGTCTATCCTATTAGCATGCAGCTCGCAGACGCGCGTACCTCAGTGCGTATGAGCAACAACCAAAATAAAAGGCAACGCGGAACAAATTCGAGTAGTTGGTTTATTTATGCGTTACAAGCGAAACATAATTTAAATATCTAACATGACGCATACGACATGCTATCCAAAAGTGTCACTCAGCTGGTAACGCCCCCAAACCCCCGCCGTCCATGACATTGCTGTGCGTTTGACAATTGAAATAAACTTGATCGAAACGCGATTAGCAAAATTAATACAAAGCAACAACAATAGAAACAACTGACCAACTATGAAGTATTATAAATGTTAATCGTATTTGCGCATTGTATAATCCATGTGCGTGCACTTATGGCGCACACTGTACACAAACGCACAGTGGACATAAAACGTTTACGTTTCCATTTGAACGATGATGGATAGGGAGGAGAAGTTGGGGTACGGAGAAGACCTACAGACGCTTTGATTTCTGCATATCGATTCGGCAAATTTGTCAATTTGTAATCTATTTTGTTAAACTTTCCACTTGCTGATACCCTAAAAGATGCCAAGAGGTTATACCTAAACTCAACATGGAGTCGCTGCAAAAGCAAGCTGAAATCTAGACAGAATTAAAAAATGGAAGCAATCGCGACTCTTTCTAATAAGATTGAGATAAAATGTGTTCACAGAACGTTGGGTTTTCAATCTATACTAGTTATTAATGTGTTTCAGATTGGATCTTAGCCATTTGCAGTGAAAAAAGTTAAGTAAGATGAACGTTTAGTGCAGATTGCTTTATAGCAGATTGTATAAAAAATATACATTTTATAGGGTATTAAGCTACAGCATTGTTTTAGAAGAAAGTATGGTTGACATATGGTTTTTCAATATTATTCCTGCAAAGTCACGAACTGTTCACGCGATCTGACTTTGACAGTTTTGTTGTATTTTTTTTTGTATTTTTATGTAAGCTGCGTTGTAATGCATAAGATAATAATAGTGTTATGTCAACTGAAAGGTGCAGGTGGCAAATCGATCGAAACTGTTTCAAATCGCAGTGGATTATTATGACCTCATGCAGATAATCCAAAAAACAAACTGGGTTGTGAAAGTTGTGCCCCACATAAAATAGAGCCAAAATCTCTCGCACCCACGCATGAACAGAACCAACTTATAACGAGCATTAAAAAATCGCCAACGCTTCAGAATTTGATGCAAAACTACTTTTGGCTAACAGACCAACAGTTAGTAGAAATAGGCAAAAATAATAAATAAATAAATTAATCATGGAGAAAAAAGAAAAAACAGCATGACCTACGCTAATAGAAAAGGTAAAAGAACAAAAAAAAAATAGTTTAGAAAATTCAGACTAATTTTAGCAGTTGCGACATCAGCGAAGCATCGCAACAACAAAAGTTCGCTGAACTGCACAAAGGCGGCAGCACAAGATATAATATGTAATAACAAAAAAAAAGAGTTAGAAAAGCAACAACAACAACAACAATAACAATAAAAAGAAGACAAAGCCAAACTTCATTAGTTGGTTCTCGCATCATCAGCTAACTTGGGCAAAAAGAAAGCAGCTGATGATTTTGGCCACAAAAAATGCACACAAATCAACGTTCGAATTGTTGTTGAACCAAAGCAAAAGATCTACAAAGAATATGCTGAAAAAAGCAGCAGAAGAAGCGTAGCCAAATTCCAAGCTAAAAATTCGAACTATCGAAAACAAATTGATATTTTATAGACAGTGACAACAATTAATTATATTTTAATATGCCTGCAACCGACAGCCCCAGCAGAGATAAAACCCCAGACTCTGGACTTCGTCTTGAGTCTGGCTCAGACACCTCAGTGCCGCTGAGCATGGCCGACAGCTTATTAGTTTATAGTGTCAACAAGGCGGCTTAAAGACCATGGAAGAGGCGGCGAGAGGACAGCGACGAAGAAAGGTCGTCGCAGCTGCCGAAAGTCATCGAACTTTCTCCATGTTCCCTTTGTTTCGGCTAATTTCTATATTATGTTACAGGTGTTGTCAGCCACACAATAATTAATTATGATTTGGCAGACGACTGAACCGAACCAACAAATGATGCAGTTGCCTATCAGTTGGCATCTCGAGCTGTAAATTGGTTGGATTAGCTGAATTCACAAAGGTTGACCAGCATTTTTAGTCAGAACAATGGGAGGCACTTAGCCAACTTTTAAATACATATTTTAGCAAGTACAATTGTGTAATTGGACAAAAGACTTTATTTAAATTTTGTTATTTCTAATTACATATGAGAAGAACTTTAAACAATCGCGTGTCTCAGCGTTAATCAAAAATTCCCAAAAGCGCAGAATTGCTTTTTTTTATTTATGTTTTTGTTATGGCTGACTGATGCGAATAGAATAGAATGGTTTTGGGGTAGATACTTTCAAAAGCTGCGCTGTAATTAATAGCAGCTTACGACTCAGTCGCAAATTAGCCGAATGACATAGCGCCCCAAGAACTCAAATTTGTCGTTGTTCTTGGCCAGAAGTTGCCAACTAACTGCGTAGGAGTTCTTGACTCAAACCGCGCCAACAATTTAAATCAATCCTGTTACAATTTGTGTCAAACCAAACAAAACATGTTAAAAACTGTAGTCGGTAGTACCCGACTATGCAATACCTTGCAATCTTTTCTACCAACAACGAATGCAGCACATGCCAAAAGGATTTCAAAATATATTTTTATGGATTTTTTTTAACTCGACAAGTTATAGATTATCGGAAATAAGCTCGTACTGTGGCCACTAGGAGGACCTGATCGATAGATGGACGAACGGACGGATAGATGGATAATCGGACTGATAAATGGACGAACGGACTGATGGATGGACGATCGGACGGAATGTTGGACGAACGGACGGAAAGATGGACGAACAGACGGACAGATAGATGGACGAACGGACGAACAGATAGATGGACGAACGGACAGATAGATGGAAGAAAGATAGACGGATAAATGGACAATCGGACGAATAGATGGACGATCGGACGGATAGATGGACGAACGGACGGATAAATGGACGAACGGATAGATGGACGAACGGACGGACGGTCGGACGGATAGTTGGACGAATGGACAGACGGACAATGCTAGAATGACACGAATATTAATGATGATCAAGAATGCATATACTTTCTGCCTGTAACATACATTATGACAAAAATATGAAAATGTGCTCAAATCGGGAATGCCCGATTAGAATATACCCTGTTCCTAACTTCCTCTCGTACATGCCAACTTCAGCCTAAATACTTCCTTTGCACTTCCTGCTTTAAGAATACCAAGCAGCAAGATGTCTAAATTTGGCCAGACGGGTTTATCCACATTTCACTTTTATAAAAGATAATATATAAGTATCGAAATATATACGAATCAGAAATGAATAAAATGTTGAATATGCCGTTAGGTAGAGTATTGTTTTGGGGTCTTGCTTAATTGCGAACTTGTTGCCTGCTTCCGCTCGATAGAAGGCGTGTGAGCACATTGACTTTGCAGCTCAAGTGGGCGGTAAGTACTCGTTTATGCCATTGTTTATGTCATATAATTCCAGAACTTGTTTCTTATTGAAGATTAAGAATAGAAATACATAACAGCGACCTACCTTGAGAGGGACAGCTGCTGTTGTTTAAAATTTACACTAGGCTAGGCTTAATTTAAATGATTCGATGTCTTGGCGCTCTCCTGTCGTATGGCATTGATTAGCTCATAGTTCACCAAAAATGTGAAGCGCAGTCCGGAGATTTCCACAGTGCAATTGTGGGCCAGTCGCGTTTTGTTTCCATTCAGTAGCGGAATGCCATCAATGAAGATAGCACGCTTGCCTTCATTAGCAATGAAGAAGTCGCCATTGCTGCGCATCTTAATGGTGCCCTGGCGACGCGAAATCTTTGCAGCGGGTCCCTCCAAGGACAGATCAACATCCACACCGCACTCCTTGGCCTCGCGACCAAATGTTATCTCCTTGGAGCGCATTAGATAACGCACCAGGCGTCCGCAAAGGCAGGCGAGCGTTTGATTATCAAATTCGCTGGCCGCCGTGGGTCCCAAAACTGAGTCAACTAGCACGCCCCAACGTGACAGCTCGTTCTCCAGCAGACGTATATCACGCTTGTTGCGACGATCGGCCAGTGTCAATTCAATTTCCAGTGCCTCATCCCGCGGCTCGTGCAAGTCCTGATCGAAAAGCTGATCCTCTGCATCTGAAAAGCTGAGTGGCTGATCCGAACCCTGCAGCGGCTTGACCGTTTGATCCGGCAGCAGGCAGTACTGCTTGAGCAGCAGCCAGTGATTATGCAACGATTTAGCAGTACGTGCGCAATAAAAAATGCCGGCGTTCTTGTCAAGCAACTCCTGGAACTGCTCCATTTTGGGCGTCTCCGTCTGTTTGAGGTTGAACACGTTCAAGCAGAAGCTCCATACTGAAAAAGTTTAGTACTTACACTCTTAATGGTGCCCAGCAGATCTTCCTCCTGCACGCTGTAGAGCGCCTTGCGCTGTACAGACTCCACCATCTCTGGATGCAGATTACGCATGGCGGACACGGCAATCCGCGACACGGCTGGTTCATACAGTAGGGCATACCAGCGCTGCTGCAGCTCCTGCAGGGTAAATTTGCAGGAGAACTTGATGCCGCGATGAATCATGCGTAGATCGTTTGTTTGCTGTATGCCAATAACCAGCGCCAGGTCATCAATTGGCTTCCAGCGACCCAAATCCTTGGTAGCCATCTGTGCCAGCGGACGGCCATTGCGTCGTGGCTTTTTGTTGCTTGCTGGACGCGAAGGACGAGGACGCCGTTCAGTGGCTGGAGCACGCTCCATAACAGGCTTTGGTTTCGGTTGCGGTTGCTGCACAGGAGTGATAATTGTCGGAACCGGCAACGTGGGCGCTGCTGGCGCTGAAGGCGTCGCAGGTGTTGCAGCAGTCACTAAAGTCGGGGTGCCAGATAGCGTTTCCACTGCTGCACCTGGAGTCTGAGGCGTTTCTGTTGCTGTAACAGCAACTACTGTTGGAGAGGGCGATTGCAGTAAAGTTGGGGTTGTCACAATTCCAGGATGGTTTTGCGATGTTGTGCGCGGTCGATTGGAGCGGTTAGCATCAGCACCGCCGCGGCTCGTTGGTATTGTAAGATTGTATTCCACAATTTCGTCGTCGAACCGTTTTCGTTTGATTGTACGCGAGGAACTATCCGGCGAATTTCGTCATAAAACAGTTCACAGTTAACTCGAAATGTCAAACTCACCTTCGACGTTTTGCTGCGTCGGTTTGTAGCAACTCTATCGGCAAATTGTGAATAGGAGTTTTACTCGAAGGCGTTGTTGTTGTTGCTGTTGTTGCAGTCGATATTGTTGGTGTTGCTGGGGCTGCGCAAGTGTTGACAGATGTCGATGACACACTGACAGTGGCAGGGACGTCTACTGCGTGCGAAGCAACTACGGGCGCCATGGTGGTTTGAACACTTGCAGATACTGCAGTATTTGTGATTGTTACATGTTCTTGCGTACTTTCCATAGCTATTTTTTGCAATATTTCTTAATTTTCTTTTGCGACGCACAAAGTATTGGTAACGCTGCGACAAATCGATAGACATAAACTATTCGATAAGTCATCATCGTGTCACGACGGTCTGTGTGGTGGCAGCACCGATTAACATTATCACTGTGTGCTTAACATTAATACTCCTCTTTAACAGAATAGCTTTAACATTGATGTTAATTAAAAGTCAACTAAGACAATGCAAAGCATTTCTATTTTCTTAATTTTAAATTTTTATATAATTTACGTTCTCGCTGTCGTATTTAAAATAATCGTAACAATAGTTATCTCGAATTTGGTTTCTGTTATTTGCTGCATAACTATCGATATGTGTCAGAAGATAAGTAAAAAGTGTGCCCAGCATACGTAGAGTTTATGCATCAGCCCTCAGATTGCTAACAAAGTGTTGATGTGAAACTTGGTAATAAGATAATGATGTGATGCCTATTGTTAAGAATGCGCTACATTAATGAATGCAGAACGGCGTTACAGAATTGCTAACAACTCGCTAAAGCTTTGCCAAACTCAACAAAACTATGAGGTAAGCGCAAAACGCAAATACAGTGACGAATGTGATGACTAATCGATTGCGCCTGCAGTGGACACTACGCGGAGTCGGAATCTTCGCAGTCCGAGAGCAAAATGGACATCTCGGAGACGCCCACGGACTCGACTGGCGTTTCACCGCTGGCTGATGAGCGTGCCAATGCCACAATGCCAAACAAAGCAACCCCCGACTCGCAGCACACTATCGAGGATGAGCATGAGAATAACGAAAACAAAACCTTGTCAACGCTGGATAACCGAATAATACGTCCGGAATTACTGCTGCCAGTCGAAACAATGCCACAACGTCAAATAACGGAAAGCACGCTCACTTTGGCAAATAGCCATCCACTTATGTCGCCCACAAACACGGACTCCGATTCGGAGCCATTTCTGGGCAAGTGCAAGAATTTTCCTGACGTTGTGCCGCGCACCGAGCAGACTGCAACTGAAGCTGTGCGGAACACATTGAACCAACAAAACAATATGCGGGTGAAACCACAAGACGCCAAGGTCAGTCTGCTGCGGGCAAATAGCCCAGATCTGTTAAGCAGCGAATCGGATGCGGATGTGTCACAATATTTGGCTGCTGTGGAGTCGAATTTTCAGTCGGTTTCGCTGTTGCCGAACGCAAACAACAAAGCGTCGCGCAAAACAAAACGATCGATGGTAGCTGGTGGTGAGGACATATCCAGCTTGGATTCCATATCAAATCATAGTTTTGACGATGACGAAGACATCGAGCACAATTTGGCATCGCTGAGCCCATCCAGTTCCCTTATTGATGGCCTGGATGGCGAGGACGATGATGACGACGAATGCGAGGGTCCTGAGTTGCTGCCCGACAACGATGACGATCTGGACGATTTTGGCATGACCACTACACCCACACCGCATGCCTCCGTAGCAACAGCAGCTACAGTAGCAGCCTCCCCAGAGCTGCCACAGTATACGGCGGATGAGGAGCGTCGCGATTCACGCAATTGGCAAAAAATTACGCTGCCAGATGGACGCACGCGCGAGATTGACATGCGTGTCATTGAACCCTACAAACGTGTGCTTTCTCATGGCGGTTATCTGAAGGCCGGTGGACAGAATGCCATTGTCATATTCTGCGCTTGCCATTTGCCGGACAGATCTCGTGCCGATTATAGCTATGTCATGGACAATCTTTTTCTGTATGTGGTCAAAACGCTCGAACAGCTTGTCACAGATGACTATGTGCTCATTTATTTGCATGGCGGTTCTAACAGGCGTAATGTGCCGCCCTTTCCTTGGCTCAAGCGGTAAGGGCTACAAATGGTTTCTATTTAAAAAACTATAAACCATGACCATTTATTTTTTAGTTGCTATCAACTGCTAGATCGTCGCTTGCGCAAGAGTCTGAAGCACATGTATTTGGTGCATCCCACTTTTTGGATCAAATCCCTGGTATGGATGGCGCGTCCATTTGTCAGGTACAAGCTTTGTCAGATATCTATGCATTACGTCACTTTTAACTAATGTTGATTTCTCTATAAACAGCACAAAATTCTGGCGTAAGCTCGTTTATGTCAAATCTCTGGATGAACTGGGACTGCATGTGATTGTTGAGAAGGCAGCAATACCGGAGAAGGTTAAGCAATATGATGCCAAGCGACATTGAGCTGCACACTCGTATCACTAAGTTATTGGGTAACTGCTAGCTCACGCTTGATTCACTCGCAACGCAACATTCATACACGCTCGCATTTTTGTTTCTGCATTCCTCGTTAGGTCTACTTTATTTAATATTGCTCTCAGTTTTTTTTTTTTTTATTTATTTATTTGAACTCTTCACTATGCTTTAATTTAAGATCTCAATCTATGTGATACCTTATTTATGCCTTCTCAATCCATGTACTTTGACCCGCTATGTGCTATGTAATGTAATTGGCGGCGCTCAGCAAACATCGAACAAGTTTTTGATTGCTTCTACCAGCAGCAGTAAAACTCACATATGAAGTATGTAGTATTAACCAACACAGACAGACGTAATCCATGTAGTTATAGCAGAACACAAACGCATATTTATAGATAATCATGATCATATAGCTTCCGCTTTAGTTCCATATATACATACATATACACATAACTAATCGTACAATCTACAATACATATACATATTTTAAGCCTGGTTTTTTAAAATGTTAACAAGTAAATAAGCAACTTGAAACCACCAGACTTCCGTACATGTTACCTTCTTTGTCGTAGCAAAATACTATAAAATATTACGAAAGAAAAACCCGAACTCAACTGAATTTAAAATTAAGCGAGTTTATAATTGAAAATATTTAGCTGAATTTTGTGTGTGAAGCTTTTGCATCGATTGCATTGTATACTCAAATCGTTATCAATCGAAAGCACCAATACACCGACCACTAAGAGATCCCATGCCAGTCACTACTCACCCCCTATCCAAAAAATAGATGTTTAGCCTGTAAGTGAACTAGTGACCATTGTATTAAATGAAAAATAATATTTGATATTTAACTCTACAATCTCACATACACATACACGAACATATGAGCGTAGTGGTGTAATTAGTTAAGCATGTAACCGATTGATATTAAGGAGCGATCTTTTGTTGGTTTCCTTATTGCTTCAACGATAATAAAAAATGCAAAAAACGATTTTATATTGATTTAAATGTCCATAAAATACACATAACATATAATATGTTAACAATTAACAATTACGAATAGCTGCTTTGATCGCAATCCCACAAGTCCTGATCCTCGTGAAACTGTATAAGTACCAGCTCATAGGTGACTATAGTGCCAGCCACCTGTTATCTTCGGTAAATATATATATATATATATAATGAAAATAATCTTTATAATTGTCGTTTGACACTCACACTGAGCACCAGTTTGCGTGTCAGATGAAAGAACTTCATGCCACTAAGAGCCACCATATCGCTGCTAATCTCTTCGGCGAAGCGTTTAACTTCCGGGCACCACGAATCCTTGGGCACGCAGCGCAAATAACGCAGTGAACGACGCGACTCGTCGTGCACGCTGGCTGCATACAAGGATACAGCCAAAGTGCGCCCAATTAGATATATGAGCGAGAAGTAAAAGTAGACCGTATGAGCAACCGAAGGCATGGTGCTGTAGAGCAATTAGGTTACATTTCTAGCATATCACGAGAGAAATCAAATACCCTTGTAAGTATATTGCTTTGAAGTGTTTGTGCAGGAAAGTGAAATAGTGAAGTAAACAACAGAAAAGTTCTCCATGCAATAACCCATTTGGTTCGTTTGTACGACTATTGCATACGAGTCCTTCAGTTGCTTCAGATATTCGCAATTATGTGAGGAGAATTGTAAGGCTCTAGAAAAACAATATACAACCGTAGAAAAACTATTTTCGTCCTATTCAACCTATACTTCTTTGGATTAGGTATGTGTGCTAATAAGTGTCAATTATCAACTCTCTACAAGGGTATAAAAATTCATATACATACTTGAGACTACGCAGCAGCTGCACACATATAAAGTAAAGATTGTTGGAGAAAGATACCATAGTTATAAGAGCAATAGCGTTGTCCATGTTGCTGCACAACGTGCATATGTTTCGATATTGAACTCGCCGCTCCGACCAGTACGAAGGAGCCATATGCTAAAAGAAAGTAGTTAAAGAAATGTACAGACATGTTTTGGAAATGAAATCCTTACTCACCATGCCTTTGAACTTTAGCAAATTGTCATTGAGCTGACGAAATTTGGATGCCAAGCCGATGCTGACTATCATGACTAAAATATCCATATAGTTCCATATGAATGTGGAGTAAACATTTTGCAATTTGCCCCACAGCGCCAACGGCGTGGAGTAGTCAAAAACATAGAAAATTTCATCGTTGGTCAGCAGAAAGAAGTTTCTTATGGGATCATCAGTTTTATTGCAATATGAAGCATAATTAATCGCCGAAATCATGCTCAGCAAATGTTCCGCTGTACAGGATGAATAGACAATAGATTAATTGCAAGTTAAGGTTGGATTGGGGAGCCACTTACCAAAGGACAACATCATGCCCACAAACATGACCATTTTGATGGAATGCGCCATGCGCTGTTTTTCACGCTGCGTCCGATATTGCGGCAGGTCCTGTTCGATTTCGTACCAGTGCATCATTAATTCCGGCCACTTTCGTGCCAAGTTGAGAGCCGTACCGCAGACCAAACAGATGCAGCTCTTAAAGATCAAGGGCCGGACATTGTTAAAAGTGATGGAGCCGTTCAGCACTTTGTAAATGGTTAAGCTAAGATTTATCAGCATGGACATAATGAACAGCAGGCAGCAGCAGGTGCGCACATTGCGCCACGAAAAGCTCAGGCTGCTTGGATGCTTGGCCGTAACGCCCCGCACCGGCATCATGGCAAACCATTGGGCAGTCAGTAGAATCGATCCGACTGCCTCATGAAAACTGCCATTGTACATGAATTGTTCTCGCCGCTTGTAGCTCAGTTCTAGACATGAATAGTTTCATTAATATATTTGCTCAACTTGACATATTGTACATACCCTTTCCGCCTTTTTCGCCATATTCAGTTTGTAGTCGCTTTACGTAATCCGCATCGGGAGTTTGCTGAAATGTTCGCTTACGAGCACTACATAATATTTGAAGCTTAGACTTAATTCGTTTCATCATGGTTTTTAGATATATACCTCTCACAAAGTATATCCAATTTACGGAAAAGCGGCGACTTCTTTAGCTTTTTCCAACGGCGGAATTTGCGCTCTAGTTTGGGCAGGAACCTCATTTTCGGACCGCTGCCAAATCGCAACTGTGTTTAAGGACTGAAAGTCAAACTTGGCAGCGCTAGTCCTGTCATTAAAAACACCTGTTGTTTTGCACTAATGTATAATTGATAGTTTAACGTGACATTTGCGAATAAAACTAATAATTGTGGAACTTTCGTTGGGCTCGAGAGCTTAGTGCTCGTAGCAGTCATTAACTTTGTCCTCCTTGTTGAACTGCAGCAAAATCAGCTCATAGGTAACTATAGTGCCAGCCACCTACGCCGTGTTATTATAAATAGAAATTTAAATGGCATAAATAGTTAAGATAGAATCATAAATTATAGAGACCCTACCGCTATGACCACGCCACGTGTAAGCCGAAAGAATTTCATGCCAGTTAAGGCCACCTGATCCATGTGCACTTCCTCCGAAAAGCGCTTGAGCTGTAAATCGAAAAACTTGATTAAGTAGCGCGTTTAATCAGGGTCCAATAAAAATGGTTAGGCTTTTAAATGGCAATGTAAGAATATTAATTTACAATTTAAAAAAATTTTGCATACTATAAATATTGTCATAAAAATATCTCTTCAAATTTGGTTAGATTAATACAATGTTTGAGACTAAATCTCCCTTAAGAGCTTCTTATATGGTTCCGACCTCACCATTTTCTTGGCATTTGGTTTAAAGTAATGTTCATATTGAAAAATAAACTGGAATTCCGGGCTTAAGTCGCTTCGATTTAAGCCTTGCTTCTAATATTTTCATATAAAGCCCCATTACCTCACTGGACCAGAACTGCCTGGGTACCAGCTGAAAGATGCGCAATGGACGCTTGGATTCATCATTAACGCTGGCGCTATAAAGCGAGAGTATTAAAGTGCGACAGAGTAAATAGCCCAGCGAGAACCAAAAGTATACCGTATGCGATGCAGATGGTTTTTTCCTATATCAAACACAAAATCATATAAATATTTTCGATAGTTATCCGTATGTCAGACTTACTGCAGGCTCTTTAAGATCTTGCCGCATATAAAGTAGAGATTATTGCTGAAGCATAAGAGTGTTATAATGGATATAGCATCATCCAGAACTGAGCAGAGTTTACAAAGATTCCGAAAATTAATGCGGCACTGAATCCAGTAATCAACGGTAGTGGGCTGAAGGGACAAGAGGAAACTTGAATCAACAATTTCTATATTGAAATATTCTTTCTTACCAATCTGGCTTCTCTGAGCATATAGTCGTTTAGCTGACGGAAACGTGCCGCTAGAGAAACGCTGACGGCCATTACGAATATATCATTGAAGCTCCAGGCAAAGGTGGCCAGCACATTGATCACTTTCCCAATTAAACCCAGAAATGGAGTGTAGTCGACAAATGTGAAAAACATTGAAAAATTTATAAATAAATAGCTGTTGATGGGCTGATTCGGCAGCACAGGGCAGGCATTCACATAATAAATACTGGACAGCATGCTCAAGATATGTTCCACTGCAAAAAGTAAGAGTTTGATAAATTGAATAAATCCGTGTATTGCAACTACTCACCCAGCGAGCACATCATAGCTATCAATATAATCATTCTGATATGAAAAGCCAATGCAGAGCGTTCTTTCTCTGTACGCAATTTAGGCAGCTGTGACTCCACCATCTGCCACTCCAAGGCAACAGCTGGCCATTTGGTGGCCAGCTGAAAGAAGGCCAAAGAGATAGCGAATATGGAGCCATAGAAGATTAAAGTTTGCACCGAGTCAAAATCGAAGTTGATACGCATGACAAACAGCGCCATAAAACCAGACACGATACCAAAGGATACGATGACGATCATCGAATAACAAGAGCGTAAGCTCATCCAGCTAAAACTCAAATCCTCCGCATGCTTTGAAGTTATGCCGCGCACAGGCATTAGAGCAAAAACTTGGGCAATGATTAACACTATAAAATACAGTTGAAATATATTAAAGGATAAGATTAGTTGATATAGTAAGACTCCTTTCAGTTTAGAATCTAGGTTTATGCATCCTAAAGGGATATCCCCTGATTATTTCGGTAGTTACCTGGCTTGATGGCCTCCAGAAATGAACCGTTGTGCACATAATCCTCGCGATTGGCGCGTTGCAGCACTTCTTTGACCTTACGTTGATGTAGTTTATCGGCATTTGGCCTGCGTCTAATCCAACGAACACGCGGTTTATGCTTAAGCACTGCATTGGATTGTGTACCACTTATATTTGTGCTATAAACATTCCTTGAGCCAAACATTTTTATTCATAACATTTCGACTTACTCGCAGTCAACGCGTGCCGCCCGCCAAAAATTGATGAGGGCCACGCTTTTGCGCCGTCTTGTCGCATCACCTATGGTCCTCGCCATGTCCTATGCCCAACTGCTGAAGTGTTTTAAATTAGTTGTTTACATTGCGAATAGTCAAAGCCATAAACTGAAAGGTGGGGTTCTCTTTAATGCCAGCCCTGCCAATTGAATATCTGTTTTGCTTATCTGTTTACAATCTTTGTGCAAATTGCAGCTCGCTCGCCGACAGCTTTATAAAATATGCAATAGGATTAAGTGCAGTACTATGAATAGAAAATGCTCTTGGAGGCACCTGCGCCGCGACTACAAATGCTCTTCTGCACCTCAGAGCCGCTCATTTGATTGATTAGCACCAGCTCATAGACCATTAAAGTGGCAGCCATCTGTAATAACAGAAGAACAATGAATAAAACAAGTCTTTGCGGATACAAGCTTACAGAAAATATTAGGCGCCTGGTCACAAAGAAATATCCTTTTCCGCTCAGGGCAAACGTGTTGGTCAATATAACCTCCTGTATGCGCCACAGCTCCAGGCACCAGTATTCTGTTGGTATCTCAAAGAGTGTATATGATATTTCCTGGGCTTCTTGTGGTATGGTAGAGGCAGCAAACATCATATTTAAGACTCGCGTTATAACGTAGATCAAACAGAACCAGAAGTACAGCTCATCCATAAAGCTGCCCCTGGCCCTGGACAGAATAAAAAGAATAAGTTTATATGATCTTAACATGCAAACTGCAGCAATTACTTAAAGCTATGATAGATTTGCACACACACGAAGTACATATTGTGTGCACAGGCCAAGATAACTAGTCCAGAGAGCTCCTTATCGTACAGCTTGAGCAAGTCACATAGATCAAGCAAATCATAGCGAACCTGCTCCCAGAACTCGCTGGACATATGTTTCCCGGCATGTTGACGTATGCGCCAGTGCATCTGCTGGAAGCGCAGCTGCAGACTACGACTGATCAGTATCAAAAATATGTCCACAAAATTCCAAACAAAAGTCATAGCCAGTGTGGTCCATTCAATAAAAAGTGCTTGTGGCACATTGAAGTGAAATACCGAGAAGAGCTCCTGACGCTCCCTCTCGAAATAATTCATCCAAAAGTCAACGTCCAGCTTGCACTCGTGTATTTGTTGGTAATTACTGTACAAAGCACTACCAACATATGTGGAGTGCTCGCAGAGTGCGGCCACCAGCAAGCCCACGCCCCAAAGGCGCAGGCGGCGTCCAAATTGTTGGCCCAAATGGCAATCGTAACCAGGCTGCAAAAAAACCTGCTCACATTGTGCTGTCCGTCGGATGACATGCGGCCAGCGGCGGGAGAGGGAAAGAAAAACGCCCAAACACGCAATGCAAATAACGCTAAAGCTAAGCGAGCCTGACGGGGAGTATAATTGTTAAACGGATTCCACTAATACGAACAGAATTTGTCTTACCGATGGTGTAGATTTTAAGGCCATGATCGAGCACCACTTTGGATGAGAGGATACAGTCCAAAATGGCGAAGGCCAGTATGACAATGCTTAGAAAAAAGGACGGAGTGAGCCAGCGAAAACGCACATTCTCAGCTGGAGAACTGGGCCAGACGCCGGAAACGGGCAACACGCCAAGAAATTGTGCTAGAATCAGAACTGGGAAAATTGATTAGTTCATATAACTTGAATTGTTATTTAAATGAGTTTGTTAATTTAAAAATAGTAAAAAGACAAGTGTCTGCTTGAATCCCAGATCCAATTACAATACTCAATGTTTATTTAACTACATTTAAACTAACCATAAATTATATAGTTTATATAAGTGGGTAATTATTGGGGAGAACTTACAGGGTCCAATGGCGTGCTGTAGCGTATTTTTATTGCAGCTCTGTCGTTTCTGCTTCATTTGTTGGCTGTTTACTGGCAAATGGGCATGCGAAAAGAATTCTTTTAGTTCAACGATGATTGCAATCGGCGTTTGAATGTGTACAACAGGGCGTATGACAGAAATTTATTAACGTGTTTGCCATTACGATCTGAATGGTTGGGCATGACATTTGAAAGTGCTTTAAAGTTTATCAACATAAATCTCTGTAGTTTCTCTCAGCAAAGAAAATGAACAAGTCATTAAAAAAGATACTGAATCATATCAGGGTTTCCTATGGGGCTTATGGCAGAAATTACTTGATCTATTTATAGTTAAGTAAGACAAATCTCGTAGTAGGTTTCTTGGCAAATATAAATATAAAATATAAAACAGGATCCAGGGTTTAATTTAGCAGTAGACGGTTCTTTGCCGGATTGTTGCTTGGTTTATGACATCCGATATCATGAGCTCATAAGTGATTATTGTCGTGGCCATCTGCAACGAGTAAGGACTTTAGATGGGTTTCAGTTATATGCACTTTTTTTGCTCCACTCACGGACAACACAAGTTGACGAGTGACATAGAAAAAGCCATTGCCAGATAATGCGGTCATATCATTGCCCAGCTGCTCGCTGAAGCGTTGCACCTGTCCAACGCAGACTGCATTAAAATTAAGCTGAAATTATTTAATATAGATCTCCTACCTCTGTAGTCCACGCCTTGGCGGGCACATCACGTAGTGCGGTTATAATTTTGCGCTCAAAATCATGAATTGAAGATGCCACAAATATAGTTAAGGTGGTGCGTAATATAGCAAATATTAGCGAGTACCAATATGCCAGCATTACAATAAGATCAACACCGATGTTTCTGTTTACAATAAAACAAGATTCACAACTGAAAACTAATAATCAAGCACGATTTCAACTCACTTGAAGCTGTTGAACAACTGAAAGCATATGAATGACATATTATTTCCAAAGGCCAAAAGCATGAGTGGCGCAACGGCTCCATCGAGCAGACGCACGAGACGCTTTAATGACAAATAATTATGGCGAACCTCTGTCCAAAATATGGCAGGCATCACCTTTCTATGCACGGCGGCAATGCGGCGATGCAACTGATGAAAACGCGCCGCCAGCCCAATGCCAATGCACATGAGAAAGCAATCTGTGAAGGAGCGCGGATAGGCAATAGTCTGATTGAGCCACTGCAAGTAACATGAGCGTAAATGCCAGACCATGTTAAGCAACGGGAGAGAATCACCTCAAGCATTGGCATCAACCATATATGATAGGGTAGTATATAATAGAGATGTGGACGCTCCCATTTGTAGGTGATTTCCAGGTAGCTGACATTGATATTACATTGTGTGCGCTCCAGACTGCTCAAATGGAAAGAATTGGCCAACAGCAGACAATGCTCAACTACAAAAACAACAGACTCCAGACAATAATAATAATATAAAATAATACCATAAGACTCACCTAGGGCCGATGACATGATCAGACCGAAAACAATGTTGATGCGACGCTTCATTTTATACTCGTCATAGAAGCGATAGGGTACGCTTAGAAAAAGCTGTTCCACACGGTGCCAGTGGCTCATGATGCTGCGCCAGTTAATTGCCAATCTCCAGAAGAAAATATGCTCCAGCAGGCAAACAATATATAGGGCCAGCGAGCTGGACGTGTGAAAATTGACGCCCACCTTCCTGACATGATTCAAAACGGCACCGAATTCGCATAGGTTGAGTATTAAAATGATTGCCGAATAAAATGCGCGCGGACTAAGCCATTTGAATTGAATATTTTGCAACTGCTGTGACCGTATATTACTCACGGGCAGCAATGCATAGATCTGTGAGATAAAAAGCACTGCATAGAAAAAATATTTAATTTTTGTCGAACAAGAGCTAAAATCATGTAGGTACCTTGTGAAACAGCGCGATGGAATGTTTCGCCCTGTGGCATGGCCAAAAACTGACTGTCGACTCTTAAGCGAAATAATGTGTACGTGCAGGCAATGAGTGGGCGTGTCTATTTAGCAGCTACTATTTACAATAATTTAAAGATAATTGTGGGCAACTGTCAGCCGGCATGACAAATTATAATTGTTGTTGCCATTTTTCAGGCGCACAAGGGCAACAAGCCTTTGCGACGGTTGGGTTCATCGAATTGCAACAACACCAGCTCATAGGTAACTATAGTGCCTGCCATCTAAATAGAGGGGAGCCAGGTATTGTTAGCACAAAATAATTGTAAGACTTTGCACCAATACGCACCCCAAAAAGTAGCCTGCGTGTTAGAAAATAAAATTTCTTGCCGGACAGTGCCACCGTTTGCGTGGACATTTGAAATATCAGGCGTTCCACCTCCACACACCAATTCCTGCTGGAGACACGACGCAGCACGGTCAGGGCAGTCTTGGATTCATCATTGATGGTGGCAGCTGTAAGAAACACACAAGCTGTGCGGCCCACCAAATACAGCACGGAGTACCAGAAGTACACATAATTGATGGGCCAACGCAATTTGCTAGAAGAAAAACCTACTCTTAGGACATTCCTCGTCTACTAAGCTGGATGGAAACACTCACTTGAATATGTTGAGCAGCTGACAGCATATAAAATATAAGTTATTCGCACAGGATAATAGAATGATGCTGGACAGAACATTATCCACACGCTCCAGTAGCTCACACATGCGTACATAGTGTTCGCGTATTTCGATAAATGTGCTCTCCGGCACCTGATTCTCTTGCTCCAGACGGCAAATACGCTTCGAAATTTGCTCAAAGCGATAGGCCAAGGCCTTGCTGATCATCATGATAAAAAGATCCATGTAGTTCCATATAAAAGTGCAGGTGCCATTTACCAGCTATAGCATATGAGAGACAGTAATCTATTTGTATAGAAAATTTTACAACAAAAAACATACAAATTACCAGAATATAGACAGCTATGAAACGACTATAGGGCAGCACTTGGAACACATATATATAGTTGTTTTTTATATAATCGTCAAAGGATGCGACTGCTGTACTATTGTGAGTCATCGAACAGATGTGTATGCGTTGTTGGTAGCTTACAATAGCAGAGGTAAGATACAAACCATGCTCAACTGGAATCGAAACAGTTGATTGTCAAATTGTCAATTAGCCTTAGCCAAGTTCTTACCCATCGACATCGCTATAATGATGAGAGCCGGTTGTCGCACACGCTGATTGAGGTTTCTCTTGAGCACCTCATAGGGTGGCTTGGTAAAGACCAACTCCTGGCGCGTCCAGTAGCGTATAAGTGGAGGCCAATGACGCGCCAAATCTATGAATAAAATGCAAGCGCACTGTACACAGGTGAAAAACACCTGGCCCACTATACAAAATTGGTATTGGCATTAGTTTTTTGTCAACTTGTCACCGGCTAATACCAACCAAAGTTGTTCGCTGTAACGCCAATCCTTAGCAAGTGCTTCAGCATGCCAAGTGTCAGCACCGAGCAGGCTGCCATGAAGACCAGCGCCGTAATCATTTGCAGAGATTTGAATCGGAAACGCACATGACGCGGACTGGGGTTCCATATGCCAGTTAGAGGCATTAGCGCAAAACACTGACCCACCAACATGACTGTAAAATAGGAATTAAAAACCTGATAAAGGATAATGTTATCAGTAGACACCTGCCAGAATGGCAGACAATATTTTGGATCTATCCTTAGCGGAGCTCCAACTACTTAGCACAGCCGGCGGCGATCGACGGATAAGTTCTTTCCACATTTGCAAACGAGCATAAGTAGTCTGTATATCGTAATTTAGAACATAGTTTTACTTACTGGGATAAACAGCGCGATGAAATATTTCTAGATTAGCATAATCTGTTGGCTTCTCGCATCTGATAACATTGAAATCGAAATTCCCCACGTCTGTTTGCTTGGTTGGGGAATTTTCATCCACCTGTTTCGGGTTTTTGGCGAACATGTGCCGCAATTTCCAACCTAGCTGTCCTTCCATGTTGCTAGCCATTTGGACACTGAACCGGAGCGCCTGCGTCTATGCACGACACCAGTTTAAAATGTGCTGGTCACACTGCAAAAGGAAATTACAGGTAAAAAAAAACCCCAGTTATCTCACGTGTGTGGGCGTCCGTTGTTGTAAACAATAATTAGAAGTTGGTGGGAAAAGCAGCTATCAACTCGGCAATCAGAACTCAGTCAACATGCGGCAAGCTGCGGGTAAACATTCTTTTCAACGGAATCCAAACATTTTAAGTTTACAGAAGGCCAAGCGACGGCGGCAACGTGCTGCAATTGATCAAAAATGGCGCTGTGCTAGTAATGTTCAGGACTTGGAGCAACTGGATACGTTTCATCGTGCCATAAGGCCATGTAGGTAGAATTTCTAGCATCTAAATGGGATATCTTACTTCTGTCATTTCACAGATTTGTGCCTGGCTCAGGTTTTTGGCATGATGCCCTTAGCAAATGTGCTAAGCCCTAATCCTCAGATGGTCACATTTCAATTACGTTCTTCTGGCACGTGCTTTTCGCTGATCTTTCTACTGCTGGGTGGTGTGAAGACAATCCGTTTAGCAACAAAACTCTTTCAAGGCGGCATTAATGCTAAGAATATTGGTAAGATAGAATACACTTTATTGAAGCTAATAGATTAGAGTTTGTTTAATGTAATCAGAATATTAAATATCATGAAAATCGCATAGAAAGGCTCTCTTGGTAGATGGAAGACATAATGTGTACTCTAGCTATACACAGACTTTATGAACTGACTAGCAAAGCCTCATTTTGATATGACATTATGAAAATCGCATAGAGAGGCTACATTAAAGAGAGCTAAGGAGCGCCTCTCTGCTACTTTTTAGAAATAGTACAAAATGCATTTTTTAATCTAATATTTTTATTGGCTTCCACAGTGGGCGTCGTATTTTTTAGCAGCGGAATGATAATCTGTATGAATTTCATTTGCTTGGCGCGTTGCTGGACCCGCTTAATAGTGCCCTGGACCGGTATAGATATTATAATGCTTTTCCCACCCTATGCAACAACGAAACATAGCCTACGCCGTAAACTACTTATTACTGGTTGTTCGTTGGGTTGCCTGACGTTGGGTAAGTTTCAATTTGGCCAGCATTTAAACTTCTTTCAACTTTTGTTACTTTTATAGCTGAGCATTTCCTATATTATGCATCCAACTATTATAATTATCGCATGCAAATTATGCATTGTCAGACGAACATAACGGATATACCATTCAGTGGGTATATGAAGAGGGAATTTGCGGATATTTTTGAAATGTTGCCCTACAATCCCATCTTTATATTTTATGCGTTTGTAGGTGTAACTTTAATATGGGTTCTTACGTGAAACTTATGTAAGTTGGTTTTCAATTTCAGTTTTTGAATGGCACCTTCACATTCATTTGGAATTTTATGGATATGTTTATAATTTTGATAAGCATTGGCTTGGCCGAACGCTTTCAACAGTTGGCAAACCGAGTTTTGGCTCTCGCATATCAAGTATGAGCTGTTCTATATGATATTCCAAACATTTTCTTTGACCTTTCTCGTTATTCTTTCAGCATGTGCCTGATGCTGTGTGGCATGAAATACGCATGCATCACATACTCTTATGTGAACTTATGGATCTGGTTGAGACCAATATATCGCATATTGTCTTGCTCTCCTGTTTAAATAACATTTACTTTATATGCAATAAGTTATTAACTATTTTTACGTAAGCTATTTACTCACAGTCATTCTCGGAGTTATTCTTAGTTTCGAATATGTTTTACAGCAAACTACGCTATCCCGTCAATTATGCATATTTCTGGTATAGTTTGCTTTTTTTGCTGGGCCGCACCTGCGCCGTTTTTTTGTGCGCCTCCAGAATCCACGAAGCCTCGTTACTGCCCCTCACGGTGCTGTCTATGGTGCCCAGAGATTATTGGACCGAGGAAGTACAGCGTTTTAGCCATCAGCTAAGGAGTCAGTATATAGGTCTCTCCGGCTTGGGTCTTTTCCATCTGACACGCAGAAGCTTCTTTGGAGTGAGTTTCGCTCTTAATTGCTTTTCTTTTGTTTTGATTATATTGTTATCCATTTAGATGATGACCACGCTCGTGTACTATGAGTTTATGCTATTGCAACTGGATGCCAAGAGCAACAAGAATGATCTACCCGCTTTGTGTGTCTGAAATGAAATGTCAGTAGTTAGAAAATTGTTTTAAAATTACAGAAAAGCCGCCTATATTCGGGACAACGAACAAAATAACCTTATAGATATATAATAAGATCCTAAAAACAGAGGCTAGCATTAATAGAAATATATCTATGTATATATAGAGGCGGAAACGTCTTACTTTAAGCGTCACATAATGTTATATTATTATTATTATTATTATTATTCCATTTTGTATTATTATTAAATTATTTCATGAATCTTTTGCTTATATCCTAATTATGAGTTTAGCTTTAAAGATTTCCAGTGTCGAGCTAATAAAGGTCTGCTGTTATCCCAGCTGGCACTTAAAATATTATTTCAATTTTCGGGAATTGCGGGCAAGTGCGACTGTTCACATTGTGGGGGAATCCACAAATTGGGGGTAACCGAAGTCGTTTGCCATTAGTTTCAATTATTTGGACAAATGTAAATCTGACAACTGTACAGCGATTGTTACGCCAACTCAACGAGCTGTCAGAGAGCGGGCGGACGAGCACCCGAAGAACAAAGGAAGCGTCAGGTCTAACAGTTTCTAATTCGAAATGGTTTTTCAATTCGCGCATTGCTTTGACACTGACACTTTGCCAATTAACACTTTCCTGGTTACCTGCAATTGTTTATTGCCACGCCACCGCCCCCCCCCCCCCTTCCCACTGGGGCAGGGCATTGCCCATTTGTGGGGTGGCAATTATCCTGTCAAAAAAACTTTATACACACATGCATAGAACAACCGAAGCTGGTAGCAAAACAAAATGCCAACAAAAACAAACGCTGGTGATTAC